TGAGAGAGAGAACAGGGGGTGAGTATGATTCAGACTTTTCTCATTGCATAACAAATATAGAGATGCACAATGGACTAAGTACCCACACGCTTACACGGCCACACATGGCCCACTGTACCACCAGCTCTCTCTCACCCACGCAGGTCCACCGATACTCCTGTATCAGGTGTGACAGGACGCCACTATCGCTCTTCCGGCTCCTCGTCGGACACGCTGCGGGGAGGACGCCTGCGGGGAGATCTGCAATTTTGCTGCGTTGGCGTTCGCGGGCAGGACATGATGAGATCCGGTTCTTCCTCTAATACCGTTGTCCTGCTCGCTAGGATCCCTCCTCTCCAGCCCCGTCGAATCACCACACCACTCCCCTAAGGCGAGGAGCACGTTGTTCTTCCGTGAGATTCACATGCCTTCCTCTACGGGAGCGCTCGAGCAGACGCACCTCGCCTTCGTCAAGGGCTTGAGGCCAGCATGGCTGCCGCCGCCGCTTGCGGGTGTGACGAGGAGGAGGGGGATCTCCTGGTGGAGCTTGGCAGTGAGAAGGAGTCGGGGGATCGAGGAGATCTCATGCAGCCAGCGGTTCTTGAATCTCCACTTAATCATCGTTTACCAGATCTGCAGGTTAGGCGACTATACGAGTATGTCTTCCTCGGATCTTAGGTTCAGTTTATGACAAAGGAAATAATTTAAGTGCACATTGTTATTCATCTAAGAATTATTCCAACAACTGAAATATGCTAAACATGTACTATGGTCTGATGCAGGTTCGGAGGACAAAGTCTCGATGTTGCAGTCAAACAAAGCCTGATAGTAAACTTGCAGCCAACAACAGTTGCTTTGATAAATAGTCAAACAAAGCCCTATGCAAAATGCAATAGCAATAGATGTTTAAACTTATAACCTGTATTTTTTCCAGCCTTAAATAAAGTTGTATTAGCATTTTCTTTTCGTTCATTTTCAAGGTTCAAGAAAACAAACATGGCAAATCTGGCCTCTAACAGGGTCTCCGTTGCTGTCCTCCTTGATCAGAATCTGCTTCTCCATTATGCATCCTCAACTAACAATGAGGTCGATCCAATTTGCTGCTGGGTTCATGTAGTATGGTTTCGAACCCACATTACAGAGTTATTTGTGGTGCTTCTGAAAATCAGATTCACGGTCCTTGACAACAGTTCTTCTAATTCGTGATGTTCAGGTGGGCAACAGGCAACTTGGTAATTGACTGTGAGCAAGTAGACATCACAATGGCTTCTCGCACAACTCCTGAATTCGGGAGATGCATCAATATGCTGTGACCACACCAACTATATGATGCTGATAATTGAAGGTCTAAACTAAGGAAAGGCTCAAGTAAGAGAAGTGGCGAAGAAAGTAACCTTACGGAATATTACATAAAGCATTCGTGCATTTGAATTGTGTGGAAAATATTCTTCTATTTGCTTGGATCAGATGAAATTCAATTTTTCATGCGACTTTGTTTGGCCTGTTAAAACCCTCCACTAATTGAAATGCAGTCTATTTAGTGGTTAAGATTCCATTTTTTGGATGTTCTGTTTAGGCTTTACCAATTGTCCAATTATTATTTTATTATTGTTTTGGACTCAGGCATGTCGATTATGACGGGTCTAACCATCAACAATTGAGGTCAGGAGAGGGCGTGGTAGTGCCGGTGCTCTACAATTCATTCTTGTGACTTTCTTCAGTTTTCACTCTCTAGAGGCAAGATGAATGGATCAAGTAGTTAGATGACACCCATGTAATAGCGGATTAAGTGTTTTTGGTGTATCTGTGCAAGCATGGCGACGTTTCACTGTTGTTGAAGGCTCTATTTGCGGAGTTGATGAATGTGCTTCATGAATTTGAAACCATACAACAACAAATAGCGCCTTATGCTTAAAGTTTTGATGATAACTATACCATGTTTTGTACATTTTAACACTAATTTTACTTAATTTTGGATTAGTGAAAAGTGTGTTGCCCAAGCGTACTAGCAAGATTTTTCGATGACATCCTTTCAAAAGACACTAGGAATGTGCTTTTACTTTTTTTGCAATCACAATGTGTCTTGCTTAGTAACAATAAATGATTTTTTTACTTGTCTGGTTGTTGATGTCTCCCTTTAGGAGCTTAATATTGCAAATTGAACAATGCTTTTTATTAACCATTTTAATAAGCACTTTTTGCATTGCACATACACGATTAGTAGTGTCCAATCAAAAGACAGGGATCAACCACATCAAACCAAACAATGCAAAATATGCCGCCCAACAAACATCAATTTTGTATGAAAAAAGGGTAATAAACGATTAGAAACGAAATGCACGATAAACATGATAGTGAAAAGCGGCGCTGCAAAGCGCGCTTCACCTTCTAGTTTGACTGATTGAGTGTCCAATAGGAGCTCGTTGAGAGCTTGCCAATTAGGATAACTGGCGATCACACACGGAGTATATGGGCTGGCCCAGTTAACTTAAAAAAAACTGGTTAACCGGTTTACCATGGAGAGTTTCCATTCAGTTTTCAAAGAAGGTAAAAAGTTCGCAAATTTTTAAGAAGTTCATGTTTTCTATTTAAAAAGTTTCAAGCTTTTTAAAAGAGTTCATGAATTTTGTAAAAAAAACTTTGCAAATTTGTGAAAAGTCTGTAATTTCAAAAATGTTTGCAAACATGAAAAAAGGTCATCAATTTGAAAGAAATTCACAAAATAGTTGATAAATAGTGCATATTTTTTTCAAACTAGAAAATTCGAGAAAGATCACGAATTTGAGAACAATTTCACGGATTTGAAAATAAAAAATCACAGATTTAAGTTATCAAATTTGAAAAATGTATGCAAAATTGTGAAAACTCATGAATTTAATAAAAGCAAAAAATTAAAAAAAATAAAGGCTAAAAAGGAAAAAGGAAAAGAACAAAAAAGAAAACAGAAAATGAAAGCAAAATCTGAAACCACTGAAAAAAGCCCTACACGGGCCAGACAATTTAAGTACAAGTGTTGTGGATGGTGTGCGCCCGTTTCTAGAATGCACCTTAAGCCACGAAATAGGATTGGGGGACCTCCCTGGCAGTTCCTATTTGGTTCTTTAAGCGCCCGTTATTATGCATTTTGCAAACGGGCGCACACCCCGCTACGTGTTGGGCTGTCTCATCTACCCTTTTTCTGTTTGTTTTAAATGCAAAATAGCACGCGCGTGGTGTGGAATCGAACTAGCGACTTCCTAGGTCATTGCACATTGCAGTAACTACCCCGCCACCACACATGCTGTTGTGCATACTTACTCCTTTTCGGTATTTTCTTTTGTCCTTTTCCTCATTTTCTCTATTCTTCCTTATTTCTCTACTCTTATAAAAAACAGAGTTGATGATAATGATGTGCTTGCCATCCTACAATATATGCCGTCCGATCTATATCTAACGGATAGGAAGGAAACTATGAAAATTTGCAAAAAGAACCCGCACCCCTCTCCATATTTCCCGATAAGGCTTTCTCTCATTCATCTTTGTCTCCCACAAGATAAACTACTCATATAAATGCATCTTAATTTTTCGTGCAATGCACGGGCCTCTTGCTAGTCATTTTTTCAAAACCTATGAACTTTTTCAAATTCTTGAACATTTTCTTTGAAATTGATGAACATTTTTCAAAATTGGTGAATTTTTAACTTTTTTCAAAACCGATGAACTTTTTTTCAATATGTGAACTTTTTTTCAAGTTTCATGAACTTTTGTTCACATTTGATGAACTTTTTGTTCAAATTTGATGAACCTTTTTCAAAATTTCATGATTATTTCCTTAATTTGCGAACTATTTTAAAATTCATGAAGTTTCATTAAATTCATGAACTTTTCCAATTTGTACGAACCTTTTAAAATTTATGAATTTTCTTCAAGTCCATGTGTTTTTAACTGTGCATTATTTTTTCCTTTTTTTATCATAAAATAATACGCATAATAGACTAGGTATATAATACTCGTACATGTTTATGTCGTATTAAAAGAAGGGTTATTTTTCTCAATACGGACAACAAAGGGAGTTTGGCCTACTGGGTATTTTCTAAGGATTGGCTACTGGTGGGTAGAGATCGAACCCTTCCTCTACCACAATTACGTGCGATTTATAATGGTTTGCGGGCCTGGGAATCGAACCCATGACGGCGTGCTGTTGTGCGCTCGAGGTAAACCAACACGTCTGAAGTGCTATTGGACAAATATGTAGCGCCCTGTTTAAAGAACTATGGAAGAATCAAACCTAAGACTTTTTGATGAAATTACGAAGAATTTCCCAGAATTGAGATTATTTTTAGATTTCCTGAAATCATGAATTTATTTTGAAAGTCCCGAACATTTCCAAAAAATGCGAACGTTTTTTAATTTGTGAACAAAATTTGAAAATGGGGCCAAATTTTTGATAATTTTTTTTAAGCGCAAATTTTTTTGTGAATTTTTGTGAAACGTGTTCTAAAAATTCACAGGTGTCTCCAGACGAAACGGCGAATGGCTCGGATGGGCCACAGTGGTGAGGCCTTTCTTTCTCTGACACACTCGCACCAAGGCATAGTTCGGCCGAGCAAGAAAATGAAGCCTCTGCGTGACAGTTTAGTCTTGGCAGGCCACATTGGGTCATTAGTAGTTGGATTCTACAGTTCTCAACCTAAAAAAACACGAAAAAGGGTTTCTATAGTTCTCATTTAATAGGTTTCTGTAATCGCCAGTCCAATGTGTGGTCGCCGCACGGCAGTATGGCATGCATTGACCGAGCCGCGTGCCCGCCCGCAGGATGACAACGTTCTCCAGAGAATTACTATAGGCAGGAAGTAAAGCTTTTGGTAACGGCCGCGGCTGGCACAGCTAATTCCTGCATCGTCCATTAATTACTTCCCAACAACGGCAACATTTTACCCCACCATATATACTCGTTGCAGGCTGGTGTTGCATACCGCATACACATACACACACAAGCACATACCTTTGCTGCTAAGACATCGCCGTTGGTGAGTTTGCACATGACTGGCATGGCGGTGGCGCGGCTCGCCGTGGCCCTCCTACTGCTGGCGACGGGCTGTGCGGGGCGCGACTTCGCCGTCGGCGGCCGCGCCGGATGGACGGCGAACCCTGCCGAGCCGTTCAACCACTGGGCCGAGCGCAATCGCTTCCAGGTCAACGACCGTCTCGGTACGTATGTACGTCGTGAACTCGTGATCCATGCATGCATGGAGTGATCTGGTTCGTGCTTGGTTTATGATCTGAGTGGCTTGGATCGCCGCAGTGTTTAGGTACAAAGGGCAAGAGGACTCTGTGCTGGTGGTGAGCCCGAGCCACTACGACGCATGCAACACCAGCGACCCCTTCATGCGCCTCGGCGGCGGCGAATCCGGCTTCGTCCTCTCCTACTCCGGCCCCTACTTCTTCATTAGCGGCGACGCCGGACGCTGTCAGGCCGGCGAGCGCCTCATCGTCGTCGTCCTCGCCGTGCGTACCCCTTCGCCTGCTCCTTCAACACCGCCGCCACCACCCAAGTCACCCCCCTCGTCGCCGCCTCCCGCTCCGGCAGCTGCGGGGAATTCTTCTACGTCGCCACCACCGGCGCTAGCGCCGCCGGCTGCGGGAAATTCTTCCACGTCGCCACCACCAGCGCTTGCGCCGCCGGCTGCGGGAAATTCTTCCACTTCGCCGCCTCCGGCGCTAGCGCCGCCGGCTGCGGGGAATTCTTCCACGTCGCCACCTCCAGCAATAGCGCCGCCGCCGGTAACGAATGGTACGGTGTCGCCACCGCCGAGTTCGCCATCGTCCGCGTCAGCCTCGCGGGGCGGTTTCTTGGCGTGCCTCATGATAGCCGGAGCCATAGTGCTAGCTTGATTTGGTCGATCGGTCCCTCCTGCTGCATTGGATTGTGTTTGATTTGTTTCCATTGGTATATCTCCAAATTTTAGGATTCTGTCGGATCAAATAACATTGTTTCCTTATTTCATCGTTATAGCGCGAGTAAGGGTATGTAATCTTTCATACTGTAGTATGTAATTCAGCCATTACGCCAGATAATTAAGATGGGTGATTTTGCTTGTTGAACAATTTTGCTTTTGCTCGATCGTTATATATATCCAAATTGTTTGAGCATTAAATCTTGATTAATTCCTCCAAAATATATCTCTTCAGTGACTAATCAATTAACTCCTAGAGTCCTAGATGTATATGAGTTACACTTTCTGGAACTTCAGTTTCTTTTTTGAACAATACTCTCATTGGATGTTTTTCCTCATCATTTTTCTTACTTTCAAAGTTTCTAGTTATTCTAAATTTCGTCAGCGAAAATGGTGATCTTTTATCAAAAAGATAATCTGAATGAAGTACTGAAATTTCTGTCACTAAAATACAAGTTTGACCATAATTTTCTTGTATATTGCAAATATTTTTGATATATTAAGAGCCTATTCGGCAACACAGTAGAGACTCCTCAGTAAAACTCCCAGTTCCAGCTCCTGACCGTCACTTAGAAACAGTTCGGTAGCTGTTGATTATTTAAGAACCTACATATGAGTTGTGGATTACAACCATTGAAGAGTTCAGCCATTGACTGAACACGCCCAGCGATCCTATGTCACTATCAAATTTGGTGAAAAACTACAAAGGAACGCGAATAACTACCCAAGTTCGGGCCACCTTCTTGGTGCAACAGTCTTTGAAGTATGTACTAGTAGTTCATATGGAAATCTGTTAAAAGACATATATTTCAAATAATATGATAATCTCTCTAATCAAGGTAGGGACGAGGGGGAGTAGTAAAAATTTCTCCTCATCCTTCGAGCCACCACGCGTGTGGGCGAGGGAGCGGACGTAGGCGTAGTAAGCAAGCTTCTGTGAGCCACCGTGCCCGTGGGCGGGAGAGGGGGTGTACTAAGCAAGCTTCTCCTCGTTCTGCGAGTTGACGGGACACATCAAAAGTAATACAGAGCATCTCCAGTGTATAGAGCCTTGCCTCTAAGATAGGCCCCACATGGTTTGCCTCTTTTTTTAAATAACGCATCAAGTCGCAATTTATTTGTTCACCCATGGTACACAATCTTTCATCAAGTGGACAACTAGTACATGTGTCAAATTACCACGTGGGCTGCCTTTTCGTACAGAAATGAGCTCCATCGTGTACCCGCGCGGGTGTGGTTGGGAAAGAGACGGGAGTACGTGTGCCATGTGTGCACCTCTTCTCTTCATCCACGCCCCAC